AACTAAAATGGAAGTTCATGATACTCCACAAGGAAAAGAGTCTCATTGCAGTGTTATTTTTTCTTATCTTAGTTCTATGCTCAAGTTCCCAATTACATCAATTGTTTAGAAACAACACACACGCTTTAAAAGTTCCTTAATTAAGCCAAACTTCAATTAAAGTATTCAAGGGAAAATTCAATTTATGTTCTATATGAAATGAAAAGTAGCACAAGAAAAAGGAAGAAAATGAAAACTCTTTTGATGAATATTTTAGAGGTTTATCTTACTTACAACCTTGAGGTCAAGGTTGTTCTTAAAGGGGTGAGTAATGATAAGAAGCTAAATAGAATAATTTATTATTAGTTAAATAAGTTTTATTAGTATTTTGATGTATTTGAAGTTATTTTATATTATTAGCTATTGGTATTATTAGCGAGCTATTCAAAGTAATTGGACTTTTATGTTTAGTATCCACTATGAGTATTATATATGTAGTCTCTATGAGACATTGAAGCATCAAATCAAATGAAAAAGTATTTATTCTCTTTTATTCTATTTTGTCATTTTTAGTGTTCTTTTTTTTTTTTTAAAGTAGAAACCCTAGCTTCATAAATTTGATAGGAAACTTCATATAAATTGATGCTCTTATTTAGATCTCATTCCTCATAACCTAAGATTCAAATTTCAGTCTTTAATAGCAATGAAGATGCATATTGGTGGGTGCTTTGCACTGAAAAACACTTTATTAAAAATAATACAATAGAGGAGGAAAAGCTTTAAGAAGAAGTCACGACATTTGAAGTTCGTGCACTCACTTGGTGGCGTTGGTGGCACAATTATCACCCACGAGCAAGTTAGGAAGACTTTCTGGTTGCTTTTCTATGGCGATTTAATCCCGAATACAAATATGTGTTACCTCTTTTAGAGGATCCCTACAATGAGGAATTTTATGAACATGTTTTTAATTGGGTTTCTATTTCGTCTAAAAAATATAACCTAAATTCCTCTGAGGTTGTTTATATACTCTCAGAAGATAATGGTGATGTCAAAACTATTTTGGAGGTCGTAGAATAATCTTCAGATCTGTGCCAAAAACAAAAGGAGTAACCCAATCTATATGATAAATAACCGTAGCCATCACTAAAGCAACCCATATTACCGCTGGAAGATGAGGAAGAATAATTGGTTCAAGAGTTGTCATCCTTGAATGAACAAAGTGTTACCGTAGATGCAAATTTCTAAAAATTCGTTTATAAATTTGGAAATTCTGAGCATGAAGCATCTACAGAATAATCAAGTGTAATATCATTCACGGAGAAAAATCAAACACAAAAGATGATACATCCAGTAGTGTTAGCAAATGTTTCTCCAAGGATGGCAATTAACGATATCCAGGTCGATAAATCCTATCAATTTCCGGTGAAGACAAGTGCGACTGTTCCAGATCAACTTTATTTTCCTCCTAACACCATAATTTCAAATTTTGAAATGGAAGTGGATTTGACGTTGTTTGGGAAACACAATCGTGATGAAGATGATTCCACAAGATCCAACATTTTGTTGGATGCTTCGATCCCTAACACTTAATCTTATGAACCAGGACTACCCAAACCTCTACTTATAGCCATAACAATGATTTCCATAAGGTATTCTTCTTCTAGCTTATTTGTAAATCTCGTTTTCACTGATTTGACACTTCTAACAAGTTTTGAGTTCAAGAAGCTTAATTTGAATTTTGTAAACCTGCCATTAACTACCACTATAGTCTTTGATCCTGAACTGCACCATTTGAAGCTTACTGTTGTCGGATTTTATAACATTGGGTTCTCAATTTTCTCCCTCCACCTGTTTGTTAAAATGCCTTCATCAATTTTGCAAAGTCACGAGCATCTGAGAAAATTCACACAAAACCTTTCTCCGCCCTCTCTTGAAACTCTTAGTCTGATCATAATGCATACAGAAAGTGAAGTTGAAGTGGGAAGAGTATTCGTGGGAGCAGGATGCAACCATATAGTCAACAACATTTCTTGGGGTGCTTAAGGTTTAGTCTCTTTTGATGCTCAAAATTCCATGATGATCTGGAAGCTTAAAAAAACTTCTAGAGTATGGATGAATGTGGTCACTATTAGAGAATTAAACCAATATGATTTGGGGTTCTATGGTGGCCATTGGAGCCAAAATTGAGATTCAAGTTTAGCACATGGATATGGTGGATCTTTTCATCTTTTGGAAAATGTTGGTGATGACAACTGGCTTACATAAAAGGTTCTCACTAGGCATTTTGCATCGGTGACTGATATAACTTAGGGTATATTCGGTGATTACATTATATCAGCTAGCTATGACCATACAACTAGAATTTATGCTTTATGCAAGATGGAGGCTGCTCACAAAGATGAAGAACTATGGTATGAGATTTCTTGCCCTTAGATTCATGGTCATGATATAAATTGTATGACAGTTGTTCATAGTATGGGGAATAATAATTTTTTAAGTGGAGCTGATGAGAAAGTTGCTAGAGTGTTTGAAGCCAAGTTATCCTTTTTGAAAAGATCAAGTAATTCCACTTTGCAGAGGTCTTGTTATTCTGATGTTGATATTGAATTTTCCCTTACGGTTTTCTAGTGTGTGTTACCTTACAAAAAAGTAATTATTGCTGACTTGCTTCCACCAAGAAATTGGTACACAATAGCAATTGAAATCAAAGTTGTAAGAGCATTTACCAGTCCATCACTACCACCAAAACCTTCATATGTTAAATCACACAATGGAATGATTAAGTCAATAAGGGTCAAAGTATAAGTGTTTGATAGAGTGATTGGTATTAAAGAAGATCGTACTTTAAATGTCATGGCCAAATCTATGAGGTATTTCACGATATGTATCTAGTAATTTCGAGATGGTCATTATGCTGATGTCTTAAGACTCTTTGAAGATATAAAGAGCTCTGGTGTGACATCTCATTTTGTTATGCATTGTATTATACTCTCTTCTTATGGTCATGTAGGAAATTTAAGGTATGGAAGAACAATTCATAAGTTAATTATAGGTAATGGTCTTACTTTGAAGTCTTATATACAAGTTATTCTCATTAATGTGTATGTATATTATGGGAAAATGGAGGTGGTTGATGTATGCAAATTGTGGTGCAATGGAGTTGGTCGGGTAAATATGCTTTCTGGTTTGGCAAAACTTGGAATGGTTATTGCTTGTGATGTTCATTACAAGTCTTAACGAGTTTTCCCTGAATATCGTCCTACTTCTAGTTCAACGTTTTTTCCTTCACTGCACTCCAATTCCCACATAAAGGTCCTTGAAATGAGATACAAGTATAATGAAAACTCTGATTTTGAATCACATTCAGCTTCCTCTCCTAAACTCATTTCAAACACTGAAAATATTACAATGTTATCTAATAATGATAAAATCATTGTTGTGTTGATTCAATATTTGCTGATAATGAAGCTTTACAAGGAGGGAACAATTGGTGACAACAAAATGCTTGAAGTTGAAAGAGCTTATTCTATGAGTTATTATATGGAATATGTCATTTTGTTTGATGTCACATACTTAATCTTGTCTTCTAATTGCTACATAGAAGAAGAGGTTAATAGTGTAATGATGGTTGGGTTAACTACTACAATGATAAACTAGTTTATAAACAAAAACATAATTGCTCTATTGTAAAAAGAATTCCAGTTGTTACACAAACTAAAATGGAAGTTCATGATACTCCACAAGGAAAAGAGCCTCATTGCAGTGTTATTTTTTCTCATCTTAGCTCTATGCTCAAGTTCCCAATTACATCAATTGTTTAGAAACAACACACACGCTTTAAAAGTTCCTTAATTAAGCCAAACTTCAATTAAAGTATTCAAGGGAAAATTCAATTTATGTTCTATATGAAATGACAAGCAGCACAAGCAAAAGGAAGAAAATGAAAACTCTTTTGATGAATTTTTTAGAGGTTTATCTTACTTACAACCTTAAGGTCAAGGTTGTTCTTAAAGGGGTGAGTAATGATAAGAAGCTAAATAGAATAATTTAATATTAGTTAAATAAGTTTTATTATTATTTTGATGTATTTGAAGGTATTTTATATTATTAGCTATTGGTATTATTAGCGAGCTATTCAAAGTAATTGGACTTTTATGTTTAGTATCCACTATGAGTATTATATATGTAGTCTCTATGAGACATTGAATCATCAAATCAAATGAAAAAGTATTTATTCTCTTTTATTCTATTTTGTCATTTTTAGTGTTTTTTTTAAAGTAGAAAACCTAGCTTCATAGATTTGATAGGAAACTTCATATCAATTGATGCTCTAATTTAGATCTCATTCCTCATAATCTGAGATGAAAATTTCAGTCTTTGATAGCAATGAAGATGCATATTGGTGGGTGCTTTGCACTGAAAAACACTTTATTAAAAATAATACAATAGAGGAGGAAAAGCTTTAATAAGCAGTCACGACATTTGAAGGTCGAGCACTCACTTGGTGGCGTTGGTGGCACAATCATCACCCACGAGCAAGTTAGGAAGACTCTCTGGTTTGTTTTTCTATGGCGATTTAATTCCGAATACAAATATGTGTTACCTCTGTTAGAGGATCCGTACAATGAGGAATTTTATGAACATGTTTTTAATTGGGTTTCTATTTCGTCTACAAAATTTAACCCAAATTCCTCTGAGGTTGTTTATATACTCTCAGAAGATAATGGTGATGTCAAAACTGTTCTGGAGGTCGTAGAATAATCTTCAGATCTGTGTGGAAAACAAAAGGAGTAACCCAATCTATATGATGAAGAACCGTAGCCACCACTAAAGCAACCCATATTACCGCTGGAAGATGAGGAAGAGGAATTGGTTCAAGAGTTGTCATCCTTGATGGAACAAAGTGTTACCGTAGATAAAATTTCTCAAAAGTTGGTTATGAATTTGGAAATTCTGAGCATGAAGCATCTACAGAATAATCAAGTGTAATATCATTCACGGAGAAAAACCAAACACAAAAGATGATACATCCAGTAGTGTTAGCAAATGTTTCTCCAAGGATGGCAATTAACGAGATCCAGGTCAGTAAATCCAATCAATTTCTGTTGAAGACAAGTGCGACTGTTCCAGATCAACTTTATTTTCCTCCTAACACCATAATTTCAAATTTTGAAATGGAAGTGGATTTGACGTCGTTTGGGAAACACAACCGTGATGAAGATGATTCCATAAGATCCAACATTGTGTTGGATGCTTTGATCCCTAACACTAAACCTTATGAACCAGGACTACCCAAACCTCTACTGATAGCCATAACAATGATTCCCATAAGGTATTTTTCTTCTAGCTTATTTTCAAATCTCGTTTTCACCGATTTGACACTTCTCACAAGTTTTGAGTTCAAGAAGCTTAATTTGAATTTTGTAAACCTGCCATTAACTACCACTATGGTCTTTGATCATGAACTGAACCATTTGAAGCTTACTGTTGTCGAATTTTATAACTTTGGGTTCTCAATTGTCGCCCTCCACCTATTTGTTAAAATGCATTCATCAGTTTTGCAAAGTCACGAGCGTCTGAGAAACTTCACACGTAACCTTTCTCCGCCCTCTCTCGAAACTCTTAGTCTGATCATAATGCATACAGAAAGTGAAGTTGAAGTGGGAAGAGTGTTCATGGGTGCAGGATGCAACCATATAGTCAACAACATTTCTTGGGGTGCTTCAGGTTTAGTCTCTTTGATTCTCAAAATGCCATGATGATCTGGAAGCTTAAAAAAACTTCTAGAGTATGGATGAATGTGGCCATTATTAGAGAATTAAGCCAATATGATTTGGGGTTCTATGGTGGTCATTGGAGCCAAAATTGAGATTCACGTTTAGCACATGGATATGGTGGATCTTTTCATCTTTGGGAAAATGTTGGTGATGACAACTGGCTTACATAAAAGGTTCTCACTAGGCATTTTGCATCGGTGACTGATATAACTTAGGGTAGATTCGGTGATTACATTATATCAGCTAGCTATGACCATACAACTAGAATTTATGCTTTGTGCAAGGTGGAGGCTGCTCACAAAGATGAAGAACTTTGGTATGATATTTCTTTCCCTTAGATTCATGGTCATGATATAAATTGTATGACAGTTGTTCATAGTATGGGGAATAATCATTTTTTAAGTGGAGCTGATGAGAAAGTTGCTAGAGTGTTCGAAGCCCAGTTATCCTTTTTGAAAAGATCAAGTAATGCTACTTTGCAGAAGTTTTTTTATTCTGATGCTGATATTGAATTTTCCCTTACGGTTTTCTGGTGTGTGTTACCTTACAAAAAATTAATTGTTTCCGACTTGCTTCCACCAAGAAATTGGTACACAATAGCAATTGAAATCAAAGTTGTAAGTGCATTTACTAGTCCATCACTACCACCAAAACCTTCATATGTTAAATCACACAATGGTATGATTAAGTCAATAAGGGTCAAAGTACAAGTGTATGATAGAGTGATTGGTATTAAAAAAGACCGTACTTCAAATGTCATGGCCAAATCTATGAGGTATTTCATGACAAGTCTCTGGTACTTTCGAGATGGTCATTATGGTGATGCCTTAAGACTCTTTGAAGATATAAAGAGCTCTGGTGTGAGATCTAATTCTGTTATCCATTGTATTATACTCTCTTCTTATGGTCATGTAGGAAATTTAAGGTATGGAAGAACAATTCATAAGTTAATTATAGGTAATGGTCTTGCTTTGAAGTCTTATATACAAGTTGTTCTCATTAATGTGTATGCATATTGTGGGAAAGTGGAGGTGGTTGATGTATGCAAATTGTGGTGCAATGGAGTTGGTCGGGTAAATATGCTTTCTGGTTTGGCAAAACTTGGAATGGTTATTGCTTGTGATGTTCGTTACAAGTCAAATCGAGTTTTCCCTGAATATCATCCTGCTTCTAGTTCAACGTTTTTTCCTTCACTGCACTCTAATTCCCACATGAAGGTCCTTGAAATGAGCTATAAGGATATTGAAAACTCTAGTTTTGAATCACATTCAGTTGCCTCTCCTAAACTCATTTTAAACAATGACAATATTACAATGGTAGCTAATAATGATAAAGTCATTGCTGTGTTGATTTAATGTTTGCTGATAATGAAGTTTACAAGGAGGGAACAATTGGTGACAACAAAATGCTTGAAGTTGAAAGAGCTTATTCTGTGAGTTATTATATGAAATATTTCCTTTTGTTTGATGTCACATACTTAATCTTGTCTTCTAATTACTACATAGAAGGAGATGTTAATAGTGTAATAATGGTTGGGTTAACTACTACAATGACAAAATGGTTTATAAACAAAAAAATAATTGCTCTGTTGGAAAAAGAATTCCAGTTGTTACACAAACTAAAATGGAAGTTCATGATACTCCACAAAGAAAAGAGCCTCATTGCAGTGTTATTTTTTCTCATCTCAGTTCTATGCTCAAGTTCCCAATTACTTCAATTGTTTGGTAATATCACACATGGTTTCAAAGTTCCTTAATTAAGCCAAATTTCAAGTAAAATAGTTAAGGGAAAATTCAATGTATGTTCTAGATGAAATGACAAGCAACACAAACATAAGGAAGAAAATGGAAACTCTTTTGAGAAACATTTTAGAGGTTTATCTCACTTACAAACTTGAGGTCAAGGTTGTTCTTAAAGGGGTGAGGAATGATAAGAAGCTAAATAAAATAATTTATTATTAGTTAAATAAATTTTATTAGTATTTTGATGTATTTGAAGTTATTTTATATTATTAACTATTGGTATTATTAGCAAGCTATTAATAGTAATTGGATTTTTATGTTTAGTATCCAATATGAGTATTATATATGTAATCTCTATGAGGTAATGAAGCATCAAATCAAATGAAACAATCTTTATTCACTTTTATTCTATTTTGTCATTTTTAGTGTTTTTTTTTATTGTAAAAATCCTAACTTCATAGTTTTGATAGGAAACTTCCTATCACGGTTGATGAAACAAAAAGAAGTAGTTCACTACAAAATAAGTTGAGTTTTGCCACGTGAAAGCCACGCCGCTAACACCCAAAACACGTCACTACTCAAATTTTTCCACCTTAAAGAACATGTCGCTATATAGCGCGTGACAATCTTGTTGCGGCGTGAAAAACATGTCACTAAGTTGCCACGTGAAATTCATGCCGCAACATACTGTATAGGGTAAAAGAATTCAGAGCAGAGCAGAGCAGAGCAGAGCAGAGCAGTGGGTCAGAGCAGGCTTATAATTTTTGTAACGTTAGCTTTAGCGACGTGTTTTTCACGTCACTAATTAGTGACATGAAAAACACGCCGCAACCTTGTTTTATTTAAAAAAAATTGTTTTTCTGTTTTAAATATTTTAATTATGTTTTAATAATTAATATTATTTTTTGTTTTATTAAATTTATAAATTAAATATTATAATTTAATTATTAAATACAATATTATTAATCAAATTATCAAAAACAAAACTAAATATATATCTAAATGTATAAATAAATATACTTAATATTATAAATTTAATAAACTCAAATTTAAATTTATAATATTTTTAAATATACCATATCATTATAAATTTATATTACACAAATAAAAAACTAAATACAAAATAAAAATAAAACTAAGCAGAGTCGTCGTCGGAATTGTCGGGAAGAAAGTCATCATTATTTTGGTGGTTATTATTTTGGCCACCACTGTTGGGATTTCTACCAAATGCTTGCATAAGTTGTCGCATTTGCTCCTCCATATCAGCTTGCCTCTTCGCCATTGCCTCAATTTGTCTATTATGTTCACCCCTCATTGCCTCCATTCGGGCATCCATTTGGGCATCCATTTGGGCCTTCAATGTCGCCTCACGATCTTCGGACTCGCGTCTAGCCAATTGTCTTACCAGTTCTAACTGATCTGGTGTCAAATTTGTTTGACGTGACCCTCCTTCACCGTCTGCAGCTCTCTGATACAGATTTCTATCCCCACTCCTCAAGGTGCCCGTCAAATTTCCACCACCAAAAAAACACCCGTTAGGCCCCTTTCCCCCAACAACTTGACTCCAAATATAGAAATCCACATCTGGGTGAACCGGTTTTTCTGGAGGAGGCGTATACTGAGGATTATGGGTCAGAAATTCTACAAGCAACGCCTGATAATCCTCCTACACATACAATAAAAAAATCAAGTTTAATTTATAAGTAACATTAATGAAATTAAATGAAATAAAAATAATAATAAAAAATAAATAGCCACGTGATTGTAACGCCACAACTTATCAGTTGCCACTCAATTTTCACGCCACAACATGTCATTTGCTACATGAAAATCACGTCACAAAATTGCTTAAAAAAATATAAACATAAATTTACTTAATTACCAGGGCTTTTTTCGTGCGCTCGTCAATAAATCCTCCCGATTTCTTTGTCCGAGTCTCCTTAACCAGCTCAGTCATCAATGGTTGTCTCCCCAAACGCTTAGCCTAAATATAAAAATTAACTTAAATTAATAATATGTTATAAATCCAAATATGACCTTAAAAAGTGGTAATAATTACCATGCGTCGGGCATGCTCAGCAGTACTAATGCTTCCAACAGCATTAATGCAACCCCCTTTTTCCGATGCCCTCATCTTCTTTGCAGTTTCAGATTTAGCCTTAAATTCATCTGATTCCCAATACTTAAGAAGTTGTTCAAAAACTTCTTTGCCTATCCATTTGGGACGAATGCCCAAAAGGTGCCAATTCTCTCTAACACGTCGTAGCATGTCAGAAAGTCTTCTTGAACTCCTCCCAAAATAATTTTTTTTTACTTTGTTATGGTTCAGGGGATCCCAAACACATTTTGCCTGCAATATTGTATGACATTAAAATAAATAGTTAGATAAATTATAACAATAATGAAAAGGTCATTTAAATAAAAATAACTTAAGAAATAAATTAATTATACCTGAAATTGCTTGAACCATTCTTCTTTATCGGAAACTTCTCTAAAACTCTTCAAAAATGTTGTATAATTCTGCTGAATTATATAATTGATAACCTTAGCAGCAGTCCGACTCGGCCCGAAACTAAAACAACAATAATTGAATTAGCATAATTAATTATATAAAGTTATATTAAAAATGGAAATGTGTACTTATAAATAAAAATCAATAAATAACAAAACTTACGAGTTCCCTTCAGGCCATATCCAAAATCTCCCATCAATGGTATGAATCTCACTCGGATCATCATCCCCTCGAAGATCTCTCCCATCTATCTGATCATCATCCCCACCAAGATCGTCATCGTCCGACTCTGTGTGGGATGTGGGGGTGCGACCAGTCTGTGTGGGTCGTGAAGAGGTGGATCCTCCAGGCTGCTGGACAGATGGGGGCATCTGGGTAGGAAGTGGGGTGCTGGATCCTCCAGGCTGCTGCACGAATAAGGGCATCTGTGTGGGAAATGGAAAACTATGCTGGAAGGATGAGGGCACCTGTGTCTGCTGGAAGGATGGCACTTGTGTCTGCTGGAAGGATGGCACCTGTGTCTGCTGGAAGGATGAGGGCACTTGTGTCTGCTGGAAGGATGAGGGCACCTGTGTCTGCTGGAAGGATGAGGGCACCTGTGACTGCTGGAATGGTAAACCAGGTGGGGCCCTAGATGGACTAATAAAACATGTACTCCCAGATGGGAACTGAAGAGGACTCTGAGATGATAGTAATGGAGTAAATGGCATAGTACTGTCCATGGACATATGATGAACCTGACTCTGCGGGGGAGGACACGTGGCTGAGTGAGGTGACTGGCATACTACTACCCTTGGACGCCTGGGCTTCCTACCACTATCACTAGGACCTTTACCCTTATTATCTTTGGGTGGCATTTTTACCTAATTAAAGAAAATACAAGTTAACATATACATATTCTCATGAATACATATTCATTAAATCATTCAATAAATGGTTCTTTGAGTAAAATTACAAGACACAATTCTCATGAATACATATTCATTAAATCATTCAATAAATGGTTCGTTAAGTAAAATTACAAGACACAATTCTCATGAATATAGGTTCACTATTCTGAATCGTCATGCTCGTCATCCATTTCATCATCGTCATCTGATGTGATACTATCCTCAGATCCAGAATCTTCATGATCTTCATGATCTTCATCCTCATCAACTTGATTCCCCTCAACCATTGTATTAGACAAACTTGTAGTGTGTTCATCTGGAATCACATCATTAACTTCAACTTCATCCACTTGGTAAGCAACATCCTCCACTAGATCGTCAGTTTCAATATGACCCAATGGTTTTGTTTTTATTACAACAAAACACCGACGTTTACGTGGCACAAATGAAGGATAAGGAACATAATAAACTTGCCTAACAATATTTGGCATTATGAAAGGGTCGTACTCTTTGTACCTCCAGTCCATTTGAATCTCAACAGTACCATATGTCTTATCTATTTTTGTGCCTCTAGTTGGATCATACCATTCACAATAAAACAAGACAACTTTATTTTCCGAGTCCAAGTAATTGTATACTAACTCGTAGATATGTTTAACAAAACCATAGAAGTCATCTTCACCACCATCTGTAACTCCTTTCACAAATACGCCACTGTTTATGGTTTTTTTCCCTTCAGTCCATTCATGAGTGTGAAATTTATATCCGTTCACGAAGTATGTGTGCCATTTGTTTGCACTTTGACGAGGGCCATTATACAAGTTTCTCAAATGGAGTATTTCTGGAGTCGGTGCAACAACCCTATACAATTTCTCCTTGAACCATGTTGGAAATTGGGCATGAATGACACCAGATGTTGATTGTACACCGGTACTTTCAAAGTAGGCGTTGTTAAATTCCCTAAAAAGAAACACACTATAAGTTTCAAGGTAATCAATTATATATATTCACACTGTAAATAAAATTAAGAAGTTGGATTATACTTACTCAAGATATGGTTTAACTTCAATGCAGTTGATCAAGACATGAACATGTGCAGATTGCATTTCTTGTTTGGTCAACCAATGCTCACCCTTCTTTCCAGAGGGACGAACTGGAAGCCCGAAGACTGATAAGGTGTACTGACTTCTTTCGATAACATTTACAGGATT